AACTACATTTTTATTTCTTCCTATCCGAGCTCCATTTCTCTCACCACCCCACCCTCAAGTTTGGGGATAAGAGAGCTCTTTGTGACTAAAGTGGCAGAGTTAGGTCTTTTGTAGTCAATTTGCTCATCGAACTATTAATTGCTTTCACCTCTGATTTTCTCCAAGGCTGGAACAAGGGGGACAAGGAGAAAACTGGGGAAAGGAAGAAATAATGCCCTCAGAGCCATGCTCCTCCCCCCTCCCAGAAAAGCCCTACCTTCCCTCCCACTCTCCCCAGAGACTGGATTTTCTTTATCAGATAATTTTTTCTCTAGCAAAAGCTGTTTTTTACCCTAAGGCTGACCCACAGGTAAAGAAGCAAGTGATTTTCCTCTGAAGAGTTTGCCTAGATCCTCAAGCTTTACAGTACATGAAGTAGCAAAAACTCCCTCCCTTGATGGCAGCCTGGTTTTCTACGTGGCAGGCCCCTTCATCTTACCTTGGCAATTCCCAACTTTCTCTACATTGTTGTTGTTGTTGTTATGTGCCATCGAGTCGGACACAACTCATAGCAACCCCTCCTTGGGCTTCCGAGGCAGTATCACTACGGAAGTAGATTGCTCCATCTTTCCTTCCAAGGAGTGGCTGGTGGGTTTGAACCACCAGCCTTCTGGTTAGCAGTCAAGTGCCTTAGGCAATACGCTACCAGAGCTCCCTTCCCTACATTAGACCTGCCCTTTCCCCTTGCCTGGTCTACGTGACCTTCCTCATCTTCTCTTTCCAGGCTTTGGGCCCCAATTGAACTGATACTGCCCAAGGTTAGTGCTAAACTCCACATTCCACCTCAGCCAACCACTCATGCCACAGAGTTCCTCTTCTTACACATCCATATGCCCTTTGTTAGATACCCAAAGCCCTATCTTTTACACAGTCTACTGATGTGTCTAATATGTGGTCTTTAACTTAAAGCTGTCCCCTTCCCCTAAGTGTTGGGTGCAGTAGGACAGCAAGGAAGGGGCATTCACTTCTCCACTCACCTACGCTCTTACAGGGCAAGTTGTTTATGACAAATCCAACCTACAAATTTCTGCATTTCCAAAAGTTTTCTGAGAGCTAGCTGACGAGCCTTCCAACATCAAAGGTTTGCATTCTCCCATGGCCATCAAGCAGTGAAAATAAAGAATATTTTCAATGCCAACTATGGCAGTAAATTCCAGGCAGAATGCCTTGAAGTTGAGTATGGTGTTTGCTTTGGAGTGTTTTCTTCATTTGAGCTTAAAAAAAAATCCCTTCTTTAAGAAGACAGTGATGAAAGCACACCAAATCTGGAATTAGACAGACCTGGGTTTGAGTCATCTCTGCCTATTTCTAGCTACCCCTTCTCTGAGCTGCCATTTCTGCAGATACAAAATGAGGAACAAAGATAATATCTACTGAGCATGGCTGCCATGAAGAGAACATGAACTAAAATACAAAATGCACATTTTAAACAAATTGTCATGTTGTTGTGTGCCAATGAGTTGATTCCAACTCATAGTGACCTCTATATGACAGAGTAAAGCTGCCTCATAGGGTTTCTTAGATAGTAACCTTTATTGCCAGGTCTTTTCTCCTGCAGAGTGGTTTTTGAGTATGAACCACCAACCTTTTGTTAGCAGATGAGTGTTTAACCAAACAATAATTTTCTGCAAAACCCATACATCCATTCAACAACTATTCCCTGAACAAGATTGCTTGCTTAGCTCTGTGGCGGGCAATGAGAGGGATAAAGATAGAAGACGAAGGGATTACAGTGTAATTCTTGCATTCTGGGATCCCTTCATACTTATTCAAGGAGCTCTGGTGGTGCTGTGGTGAAGACATCGGGCTGCTAACCAAAAGGTCGGTGGTTCAAACCCACCAGCAGCTGTGTGGGAGAAAGATGAGGTAGTCTTCCTCCTTAAAGATTTACAGCCTTGGAAACCATATGAAGGTTTCTATGAGTTGGAATCAACTCAATGTTAGTGTTTTTTTTTTTTTTTTTTTCTTATTTGTTTTTTGTTTTAT